TATATATATATATATATATATATATATGCATAGACATTAGCATAGACTTATATTTTTATATACTATGTACATTTTTTCTCACCTTTTTTTCCTCATTTTTAAAATATTAACTTGTACTCCCTTTAAAAACTGTGTTTTAACTGTTTTCTTATAAATAGATTAGACTATTACATTGTGTATTTTTGCAATCAGATTTCAATTGGCTTATATATTATTATGATATAATATGAAACACTATTTTTTCTCGAAGAGGGTGATGGTTGCTTTCCTCCTCTTAGTCTCAGACAGTATTCGTCTGACCAGGGATTGTTATTCTGACCAATCAAAAGGTTATCTTGTCGTAAACAAGAGAACCTGTACATAGTGTGTTTAGTCGGTCATGATATTCGCAATACGTCACAGATTAACAGTTATTTTTGTTCACTGTGCTTTTTATATTTTATGGTGAAATGGTCAGGACTGTGTTTTGTATAAGGTAAGGTGTGGACTAAATTGAAACAAGTAACACGGAACCAATGGCTAAGAAAACGTTTAGTATATTGTGGCATCTGGAAGCAAATTGCAAGTTTTGCGTGCCATACCAGAAGGAGACTTGCTTGCAGCAGTAGACCGATACCATTTGTGGACTCAAACACGTTGAACGAACTTTATAGTAAAAGTTGGTTTTATTTTCTTTAATGTGTATTATTTTATTGTTTTATGTACCACCTACACCTAAATAAAGGTACTCAGAAGAAGAAACTTTGTGTCCTCCCTCAATCTGTTTTGAGACATGGGCAGCCTACGGTCAGAATTTTGACGTTGTGAAAAACGAAAACTGAATTCTTAGTAAGAACTAAAGAGTCATCGAGTCTCTTAAATAATATGTAACTGACTTCAATTAAGTATACATATATATAGGCCTATATTTATTATATATATGAATGAATAATTACTGTGTAGAATTTTCGATTTTATAGAAAACTGTTAATATCGATAACTTTATAATTTGATTGAAATGACTTACGGTACAGTTGAGTACCGGTATATAGTGGTATATATTAACAGGGGCGGCTTTAGGTCGGGGCATGTCCTCGGACCCCCTAGTGTTGTCTCTCGATGTCCCCCCCCCCACCTTTCGGACATTTCTGGATTCGCCTCTGTTGATAATAAAAATGTGTGTTTTATGATGTCTGTACATATAACCCTGAGCTGCGGTGGACTTAGTGTCAATGTATTAAAGGAAGGAAACCGGGGTCAGACCAAGAAACAATCCTTGTACGTAACATCTTGATTGCTTCCTAAACTCAATCCATATAGTTTTCCCGTCGAGTAGTTAACCTTAATCATTAGATTCCCGTATTAGCGGGCACACTCACATAGCCTCCCCAGTTCTTTCTCAGTTAAGCGCACATAATTTTAATCACCGACATGCTTATATTACCTATTATAGCATTGGGTTTGTTAATCAAGTAAACCATCTCTGGTCCAGGATGTCTTTCTACGTGCAAAACTTGGCGATTCTTTTTATTACTGTAACAATGCTGGTGAATACATATGGACTTAAAAGCAAAAGGTGCGAGTTCAAAGAAAACAAACAACTATGTAAGTGCAATCATCGTGGCATCGAACATTGGAAAAAAGCATCGACTGTCATGCAAGACTCTTGTTCCACATCAGTCATTTTAGATCTCTCAAAAAATGTAATTTCTACGCTTGAAATTAAGCCAGGCCCGGAGAACAGTACATACCAATGTTGTGTTCCCAAGAAACTGTCAGAACATGTTGAAAGTAAGTTGGCTGTGGTCAGTAGCAATACTTCCGCTCATGAACCTGAGATGTTCTTAGTGTTCCCATCTCTTCAACGTCTTAACTTGAAAGGAAACAGAATTCGAAATATCAGCGCTTGCAATTTTTATGGTCTTGGAAACTTAACTTTTCTTGATTTGTCAGAAAATAGGATAACGTCGATATGTGATTTCAGTTTTAGAAGTTTGACTTCATTAAAAGAACTTCACCTACAAATAAATGATATCAAAAACATAAATCGCAATCACTTCAAAGGTCTGGCCAATTTGCAAGTTTTAAATATTTCCGGTAATGATATAAGTAAGATGGATAAAGAATCTTTTGTTGATATGCTAAATCTGAGAAAGCTTATTCTACGTAGAAATGCCATCGAAATGGAAACGTTACAATTGGTAAATTTTGGCAGGTTAAAAAAATTAAAGGTACTTGATTTGATGAACAACAGGCTTAAAAAGGTGGCTGGTTTTGAAGAAATGTCTAGTCTTCAGGAGTTGTACATGGGCGACAATTATGTTCGCAAACTTGGAGGCTCGTCTTTTCGTGGTTTAAATCGTCTGACAATATTATGTTTGAGAAACAACAGACTCATGTCAATTGACCACATTGCCGGTAAAGGAAAGCAGTTGAGAAATCTGGAAATTCTCACTTTATCACATAATAGAATTAGAAATATATCTAAAACTGCCTTCAGCAGTATGCCAAACCTTCGAGAACTTTGGCTTGACTCAAATCTACTGACAGAAATTCCTTCCAGTCTGGTACATCTAACGAACTTGGTGAAACTTGTGCTCAGCGATAATAATATTTTGAGCATAGATTTAAGCGCCATAACCTATCTTAATAAATTGTCAGTTGTTGTACTATCAAGAAATATGATACATGATGTTCTGTTTGATGATATTTCGGTGAGTCTCCAACCAGATAGTCAAATTCAAAAAAGTTACAATAATACTGTAAGATTTTCATCAGTGCAAATGCTTTGCTTAGAAGATAATAGACTTTCGACAGTTTCTGGAAGCATGCTGCAGGCGTTTCCAAATCTTGAAAGTCTTCACTTGTCGGGAAACCCTTTGACATGCGGCTGTTCTTCTGCACCACTAAGTCGGTTCTTGAAGACCCACCCACCACAGTGTGGGTGCGATGATGTCATTATTGACATGGTTGATGATTTGACTCAATTGACATGTAAGCCTAATTCTAAGGTAGAAGAATCTCCAACTTGTTATAATTACAGTAACAGCATTAAAGATTTAACGTGTGAACACTTTATAGAATCGTGTTCCAGCTCTGAAGTAACCACCAACAAAAAATCTATTGCTGTTGGTAGCTCAATTATGTTGGACTGCCAACATCCACTATTATCAAATACATCCAACTACTTTACATACTGTTGGTCATATGAACCAAGAGCAGGTTATCTGGCATACCAAACTACATATACACAACAATTAGAAGGTGAACAGATTATCCAAGATGAAGGTACTTATTCATGTTTGGCGATTAATGATATGGTGGTCTATTCAACTATTTACGAAGTGAACTTTGATTACGAAAATATGACAGAGGACTCAACAACCAGTATTCCAATTTTTACTATCTCTAAACAAAATCGTACAACATATGTTGGTGCAAGATCCCGGACAGAGGCTGTGACAGCAATGCCAATAATTACGTCAAACACAGAAAGTATACTTCTTGTTGTGGCGATGATCACGATCCCTATCCTCATAATTTTTATCGTAAGTTTGTTGTGTATATTACTCAGCATCACTAGGAGTCAAAGAAAGGGCTATAATATTTATTCAGCTATTTTCAAACGCTTCAAAGGAAGCGATGAAAGCATTTATGCAGAAATAGACGATCTCCCAATGTCACTGCTTAACAAGGCCTTAAATGATCGCACAGCCAGCCAAGACCAGCAATGCCGCTATTCTAGAGACACAGACAGTTATGGCTACACGTCTGAAAATGATGACAAAGATGGTGGTTACTTATTACCTATTGGTGAGTCCACTGTGTCAATTGACACTCTAGGAGACACATTGAATGCATATTCGTCCCATTACCCTGCACATTCTTATCTAACTATTCTAGATGACACAGAGCTTAACCATGACTATGAAAGATGTGGACAAGTTCCGCAGCGACGTGCATTGACACAATACTACGATGAACCTCCTGACATCCAACCTAAAGTTCTGCGCATGAAAAGCCTTGATTTCGACTTATGCGATGCGATGGAAGAGTCAACTACCTTGGATGTGCGACCTCATGAGGCTAAAATCGTGACACAGTTTGGCACTGTCACTAGGAAGCAGAAAAAGCAGACTATTGTTCTAAAACCAGTCATGATTCGCAACGTTGAGGATGATTTACCACAGGATTGTTTAAAGCGAACTTGGACGATGTAGCGCGAACTTTAAAAAATGAGTGTGATTTCGGCTGATGTGACTCGAACATGAACAATGAAACGGGAACTTAACCACAATTTTGTATAATAATGTGATATGAGTAATTTAGTGTGAATTATGTAAAACTTCTGCAGGAATTATGCAATGCAAATTTGAAATTCATAGTGTGAGCTAATTAAACTAATATCATGTCTGAAGCAGTTCAAATATAGCTTAAATACGTTGATGAACCAAACATTCCGAATTATGGAGTTTGTTTAGCAATGCAAGAAGTGCATTCCAGTACAAGTTCAATACGATGAATGATCTATATACTCAAAGATATCAATAATTAGGATAATGTTATTATTATAATAATGTTAATAATAATAATAATGAATCCAATATTTAATGAACAAAAAAATAAGGCATTTTAGACCGATTTTGATTAACTATAATAACTTCAAATCCCACAGACATGGGGTTAAAATCAGTGTTTTTGTCTCACGACTACACACATTCTCTAAGCCTCATATTGAGACATTTGTTTTTATTAGCATCACTTCCATCTTGTAGGTGGGGATTTTCCGTGGGATTAGTGTAAATTTGCCAGAAAGAAAATCTCGGTTTGAATGTACGTGACATTACTGTAAATAAATCCATAAAATCAATTTGTAATAACCGAGATATGATCATATCTGTGGAGGCGTCTTCTAGTTCCGCGGTGTAATGCGATTCTTAACATTTGAAATAAAAGTAGGTCATACTGAGCTCTATGTAAGTCTAATATATTATTATTAATAATAATATTCTCAACTCCATGGGTTGAGTGGATTTATTACGTATGGTAATTTTCTATTTTTAGGAAGTTCAGTACATAAACATATGGATTTATTTTCTTGATTTAACCGTAGTATATAGTTTGTAATGCGAAGTATTGAAATTGTATTCGACTACACATTATATTTAGGGCTGCTTTGTAGTTCAGCGCTGGCGCTGTTTATTAAACATTTTCCAAGATTAAATATAATAGTGTTAGGTTCCAAGCTAACAATTTCACGTTAGATAAGGTTATAATAACGTAACAATTTGATGTTAAAAATAGGGGTCCCCACCACTTAAAACCAACTCTTAGATCAATCAATCAATCAATCAATAAATCAATCAATCAATCAATCAATCAATCAGTCAGTCAGTCAGTCAGTCAGTCAGATCAGTAATCAATCAATCAATCAAACAGATAATCAATCGATCGATCGATCGATCGATCAATCCATCAAATCGTTCCGTTTATATGGCGCCATTCCAAAAGTCGTTGTTCAATGTATGTTGTTATCTACAGTAGATTTAGTTAATTCAATAATTGCTCTAGACTTTTCAAAGATACAATTTGACTAGAGTAATCAGTATTACTTATTTCGAGGCTGGGCCTTGAAGAGGTACAATAAGGTACAAGGTAAATTTTTAAATCAAAAGGAAGTTAATTCTCATGTTAACAGATGTGTAGACAGAAAGAGCCAGGGGCGGATCCAGAGAATATCTGACGGGGACAAAATAAAGTTCAAGTTGCCACGCCCACCTCAGCCCCACCATGGTTGGTGTAAATAAGTTGTAAATAATCGAGCTCACCCACTACTGGATCGCCACGTTCGACTTGTGAGCCTCCCAACAGCAAACACAGATCGATAACAACAGTACATCTTTTTATACGTACATATACATATTCTCTCCACTCACATCGGTCTATTCATAATTTACCGGGGATGTAAAATTTCTATTAACATGTTGGATCTGTTAACATGTTACTTTCATCTAGCTTTTGTATGTTTGATTTTAATGTATATTGGAATTCGTATGCGATACTTGCAAAGAAATCAATAAAAGGGAATCACGGAAAACATATGAATTGCTTTAGCGCGTTCGTTAACCTATTGGTCAATAATATTGACGAATGATTTTATTCATATTTAAAAAAAATAATATATTGTTTCATTGAAGAAATTCCGTCCTGTGGAAGTTCAATAAGACACTCAGTGGATCAAATATCATGTATTTTAGACCACATAAAACCTTTCGATGTCAAAAACAGAACAATAACTTCCGTTGAAAACAGAATTTACAGACAAGGCTAAAGTTACTTCCTGTGTGTTTGATTTTACAGTACTAGTAAAAAAATGGCTAAAAATAACAAAGCAATAAACGTACAGAAAGACAAATGAAAGTAAAGATGGATAGATGAAAGGATGTCATCCTTTCATCTATCATATATATCATTGAATGAATGAATGAATCAGTGGCGGATCCAGGAATTTGAAATAAAGGGGGCCCAGGGACTTCCATAGATAGACCTACCTCAACCCTGCCATGTTTGGAGCTGAGGAAAGAAAATTTATGCCTGCTCGGACCCCCTTCCTTAAATCCGCCACTGTTGCATTAGTGAAATGGACAGATGGATGAATATTGAATAGTACCGGCCGTGCTCTATTAGAGCGTTGGCTCTCATGGAACTCCATAGTTTCCTACCCTTTGCCATTCTTATAAGGTGAGTGTCACTAGATATACTAATCACGATATGCTTTGAAAAATTATCATAAATTAATTTAATTTTATTGAAAATTAACATAAGGTAGGCCTACTGGCCGCTACAAAATAAACCAAAATGTTGGTACTGCAGAGTGCTCCCTAAAGCACTGATTTTATTTTAGTTTATTTATTCGACCAACAAAATATTTACAAAAATTGTCCATCATAGTGCCGACTGAAAGTGTCCAGTAACGAGTTTAAGGAATCTTACTATGTTTTTATATTAAAGTGATAGTTGGGTAGCGACTCATAAAATACCGGTACTGTACCAGCTGATATTTCCGGTTTGTCAAGGGTTTCTTCCTCCTATCATCCTGGACACCAGCACGCGCTAGTACGCCTGATACGGAAAGTTTCCGCCAAAACAATAGACTAACCTGATTGGGACGTTCGTTTTGTTGACTAAAGATTTACTATCAACCAAAAGCCAAGAATTATGAGTTGTAGAAAATTGTTATTCACTATACCCAAATTAGTGTTCAGAATTTAGACAACTAATTATTAACAATTAAGGTCCTATCATTCAGAACATGGATCCTAAATATAGTTTCTAACGAATAATTCTTCCTGAACATCACATGCATAATACATAAAGTTAGCTTATAAAAGTGACGAACTACTGTAAAACCATGGAGGTATAAAGATAGGTAAAACAAAGATACGCTATGAAATTCATTTATAAATAGAAATTTGTTGGTGCGCCACCAGGCGACGATATCAGAACTGTTCCAATCGTCGAAAGAGGGATAAATTTATGCGAGCGGAACGTGTTTCCTAAATAAAAGTCATGTCTGAAGAACTAACAATTCAGGAGGTCACTGATGGATCAGAATTGGAAGAGGTGTGTTAAGTTATTAATTGTTGTGTTACACTTGTCTATATATTTATTTCCCCATATCATGCGACAGCGCTAGGCCTAGCCTATGGAGGTTGGGCCAGGCCTAGGCCGGCCCAAGTTAGGCCTACCTAGGTAGCCTAGGCCTAGCCTAGTTAGAGGAAGGCCGGGATTCACTGGTCGCCTAGCCTAGCTCGTGATAGGTCTTGTCCAGACAATGCCAACAAGATCACAACTAGGCCTACTGCAGCTAGAGGGTCTTTAACTATCTTAAGCCACTATCATTTACAGTAGTGAGTGCCTCCTGCATAGATAGATAAGATAGGCCTAGGCTAGGCTAGGGAGGGTCACCATGTTTTATGAATTTTACTTGAGGAACTTCAGTGCTACATTTTTTTTTCTGTCTTTGTGGTTTTACACAGGATTTTGAAGATGAAACAATATTTGAGAGAATATGTGCCCTCTCCGAGATGTTTCCCACACCAGTTCGCAACATCACCAGTTTAGCAGCTACACTTTCATGGAAAGGTGCAGTTGGCGCTTTTAGGTTTGGGCGAAGTGCAACATGGATTGCTTCTACCTCATTCATGATCCTCTTTCTTCCAATAGTTTTTGAGGCCGAAATGGCTCAGATGGAACAAGCTCAGTTGCAACATCAAAGACAGGTTTGTTAAAAAATAAACATGATTCAATGTAGTAGAAATGTAGAAATTCAATATTTCCTGGCTGGTTTGAGTGATAGAAGCTTTGCACCATATACAAATACTGTACATTACAAATGATCCACACATAAGGCGAGACGTTTTTTATACCTTGTTTAGCGAACCCACCGCCATGAAAAATGGAAATTTCAGAAAAAAAAACAAAAGTTTTTCTTTATTTGCCTTGAAATCTCCAAAGATAAGATATGTATATTTCTTCCTAATTATATAAATTTGAAGCATTTAACCATCTCATTTTACATTCACCAATAAAATTTTATTTTTGTTTTTTCCTCCATCTGGCAAAACTTACTAAATAAGAAAACAATATTTTATATTTATTTTTATTCTGCCCTCCTCCGATGATCTTTAAAAAAGTAAGTATGTGAATCAAGGAATAAAAAAGTCTCGCCTAAAATGAACATGATTTAAAAAATAAAAAATGTATATATTGCACGATTAAGATGATCCTGTTTTTTTATTTTTTAAATTGTAATTTGCTATTTTAAGCCTTGTCTTATTCGCGAGAATATACGGTAAGATAAATTAAACTAAAATGTATAGAAGTGTTTGCCTTACATTGTTTTTGTGATAATTTTTTGTACATGACACATGACAACACTTCATATCATACATTCTATACAGAATATGTGCCTATGAAGTTTTAGCATTTTGAGGCCAGGCCATTTTCAGTCCTGAATAACAATAACCTGCAGTTTTGTATGTCATTTACTTACTGTATATTGATCAAATAATTGTGACTTTTTCAGATCCTTCTTGGGCCTAATGCAGCTTCTGGGGGGATGCCAGGATTCCCAGCCGGACTAGGACCTCCAGGTGGCATCCAGCAAACTGCCCGATAACCGCAATAGTTGTCTTTTATTATCAACTGAGTATCAGAATGGAAATGGGGCTGTTAAGACCGCGATCCTTTAACCACTGAACATTCCATGCTGATGAAATAAACTTTGAACTTAAATGAGGAGGCAGAGGTCATACAGATTTACTCAATTTGATGTTCATGCAGTGTTTTTATAATCATGTTTTAAGGGGAGTCAAAATTCAATGTTTGGTGCTACAGTAACCAACAAGGGTTAGGTTTGGTTCTACATGCAACAGCCGCAATAAGTGTGATTTCTCCATGTATGAGTGCGATATCATCATGCCCATATATGGGTGTTATATAATATAGAGTACCTCATAAAAGAGAAGTATGGTTTCAATTTATGTATTTGTTTCGGAGATGTACTGAACTGCTTTTGTTAAGCTAAAATAAAATTGAATATTGGTGTACAGTACATTTAAATTGTTTACTTTGTATTTGTGTTTATCAATTATAATTTAGAATGGGATAACTGAGGTGGATAGAGGATTTGGCAGTACAAAAACACAATACAATTGCACCATCTGCATCTGCCCCAGGATAATATTTTCTTCTTTCTTTTCTTAGTTAACTGTTGTCGAATTTAACATAATTATGCTCATTAAATTAGCTGGATTAATCTTTACAGCAATAGTTGGTAAATAGACATCGTTGGCAAATTCAACTGTGGTGGGGAAACCACTTTCAAGTGCCATAATCATAAAATGTCTTACCTCAGCCCCAACCAATGGTGGTCCAGACCCTCCATCTGTAGAAGCCTCTCAGCCCCAACCATGGTGCTCCAGACCCTCCATCTGTAGAAGCCTCTCAGCCCCAACCATGGTGCTCCAGACCCTCCATCTGTAGAAGCCTTCCTTGGGCCCCCTCTAATTTTAATTCTGGATTCGTCACTGAACATGACATTCAAAACTGCAGAAAAATATTAAATATTGTTGTGGTGTTCACAATATTTATTATTACACATCAAATTCTACAACATACAGGAAGACCTTTTTTTTTAATTTTTTATCTATTAAATTCATTCAAAGCCCACAATATAAAACAGAATGCATGAATCAACACACTCCAAATCCAATTATTATTAATTTATTTACAACTGTACAGAATAACTTGCTACAGAATTCAGAATGATCAACATTACTATGTAATTCCCTGACCGACAAATCAATTGTTACTTTGTTTTTGTACTCGGTAAAAGAAAACAATTCTCGGGTAAATAACATCGACCAATAAATAAACATGTCTAATGCTACACAGTGTCACGTAGCTTGCTGAACACCATATTGTGAATAGACACAGTTCATTGAACAAATGCTAACTAGCATTTTAAAAACAGTAATGCCTGGTTAGCACTCTGCAGTTAGGTAGACAACATTAAAACAGTGGTTGGGATTTTTTTATCGCTATCTTTATCTTTTATTTCAACTAACCAATTTGCAGCATATAAGCTGAATTACATGGTGTAACAAAATGTAAAGTCTGTAAATAGAATGCAGAATGCTAAAGATGGATCAAAGTGTCCCGACAACATAAAGCTGCTTCTTAAAGTTGGATAGATAACATCATACCATATATAGGGTGATAGCTGTAGACACTGCTAGGTCAAGACTGAATGTCTGAAGAAACTTGTGGATGTTGGCAGATTCTGGGTACAAAATCAAATCAAAGTATTCCAAGTTAGTTCAGAAGATAGCCCAGATGCCACTGTAATTAATTCCATTGTAATAAAATACTATAATTAGCATCATCTTTTTGAGGATCGTTTGCTACTTGTTGTCCCGGTACCATAATCATCAATTTCTTTCTCTAGGAAATGTTTCTCGGCGGTGGTTTCAGCAAGCTATGAAAACAAGACAAACAATAATTACATTCAAGTTGAGATTTTTAATAGGAAATACAGGTCTCCCTCTAATTAGAGACCAAAACTGCTAAAGACCATAGACACCCTGGTCCCAAAAGTGGTGTTTAATTAGAGGGAGCCCTGTATTACACAAAATCAAACCTTACTGCAATACATTTTCAGAAAAACAATAGTACTGTATTGTATTGTCTATAGAGCAATATAATTACTACTGTATAAATGGAGGTAGCAATTATAGGCTGTGTTCACACACACCAGCTAATGGTTAGGATCCAGATTAACAACATAAGCGCTCACCATTGCGTTCATACAGAAAATGGATCAATGGCCAATAGAAAATTGGAAATGCATACGTCTAAGGATAAATATGAGATCAATTTGCTTACCGATAGCGCTCGCTAACCGTTAGCATATCCACTTCATGATAGCGTTTAGAGCTAATCGTTTGTTAACTTTAGATTATTTTAGATTTACAGTGCACCCTCCAATTGGAGACCCCTCTAATTCGAGACCACTTTTCCAAAGACCCAAATAACAATCTTCAACCTTTCAACACAAAGCTAGCCCTCTTATTGGAGATCAACCCCAGGACCACCCCAAATTTTCAGGTCCCAAAGATGGTCTCGCATTGCAGGATGAACTGTATAAGCTTTCACAACTACAGTGGGGTTTAAACAGGGCAATCCCACATTCTATTGTGTTTCACAAATCTAATTATCCTGTAATTGAGTAGGCTTACTGACAGCCGTTGGCACCATTTTTACTTACCATATCAAGAAGGACCTCCATCTTCAATTTCAACAAGTTGTTCTCCTCAAGTAAATTCTGGTTTTGCTTTCGCAATTTCATAAATTCTCGCTGGCTTACACCACCACCTCCTCCACCTCCATCTAAAATAAAGATTATTTCACCATACAGTGTCACATATAAGTGGAATCATTAAAGGGAGTACAATGGAAAAGGAATAAAATAGAAAAATAAATCAGTGTAAAATACAAGAACACACTGAAATGTTGTATTTTCTTTAAATATACAATACAGTCGAATCCTAAATGCCATTGAAAAATTGTTCGACTTGGATGATATTTGACTTCGACTTGTTAATTAATGGAAAAAACAACAATTTGGCATGTAAAATAAGTTCGACTTAGAAATTATTCGAGTTGGGCAAAGTCAACTTAGGAAAGTTTAACTGCTACCGTATATTGAAAAATATTTATATTTATTAATTTATATTATATTTATTTACAGTATATTTATTAATTGCATTTCACTTTATTTTGTAAACAATAAAAATGGTAACCCTTACACAGTTGCCCAATTTTCAACTAGATGAAGGCTGCAACTTAACAAAGAAGAAGATAACTGACCCTCATAAAGAGACTTGGTTACGGAGATAATCTACAGGACCAAATAACCAGCTCTACTCATGAACAGACTTCAAATCAAATCAAACATGCATTTATTTTCCATACAATACAGTAACACAGTATACAATATGCAAATTGAAACAAACGGAAGGCGGCTACAGCATAGCTAAGGTCCCAAGTGATCAGTTGCCACCGTCTATGTTTACTAAGAAACTTGGCTATACTGTAGCTTTGGGGGTCCTGATGATTAACTCTGCACTCTCCAAGCTTTGAAGATAATTCGATGTAGAGGATGGAGGGTCCCAAATGGTCAGTTTCCACCCTTTATGCTTCCTAGAAGACTTGGTTATAGATCATTTAGGTTCCCAAATGATCAACTTGAGCTTGATGAACTGACCTTGCTAAATACACAGTTTTGCAAAAGCAAATACATTTCAGTACCTGATATCCAGACACCATTTTCTTTATCAAACTTGAGTTCCTGTCCACCAAGTTTGAGTCGGGCGACATCGTACTGTAATCCATATTCTTCCTCTCGGATGGAACTCTCAAGCTTGTTTAAGTTGTTCAGAGACGATGATCTCCGAGGTGGTGTTTTCTTTGGGGTGAACTTTGGGCCAAAAAGGGGCATTTTGTTTCCTGTTGAAGTCTCTCAGTTGTGTATATTTGAAGTCACGTCCCTTTCCTCCTGTTATTAAAAAGCAAAAAACAAAGAACTACGTTTATGTCTATTTTTTACTACTACCAAACATCCTCAGATACTAAATACTCTAAAAAATATCAAATATTTGAATTAGACATGCAGTGATGAAAATTTCCTTTTGATTGAAAAGAAGAGACTCCTCAGGCCAGGGATAAGCGCACCCCCAAAATCGGCCCAATTTTATTTTGTGCATGTTCAAGTGGGTGAGCTTTACTGTACGTCTACCACAAGGCAGAGAGAGCAGACAGATAAAGGAAGTTCAGGAACAGAATTTTATTATTAATATTATTATTGTGGTGTACAGTATGATGGACTCCCCTGTTCACTGTTGTTGTACGTTGGATAGCCACCAGCAGATAGGGATTATTACGGAAAAAACAAGAAAAGTTGCATATAAATCTCTTGAGATGAGGCATTAGCCATTGTGTCTCGTAGGGTAGGCCTAGCTGGGCTACCAGACGATGGCCTGCCAATATCGGTTGAGAATACAAGTCAAGCTGTACCCATGCCAACCCGTACCCATAACCCGTCATGCACGGCTTCGCCTGGGCTGGTCCCACCGGCCACCAATGGCAATATGCTTTTCAGGGCTAGGCCTAGGCCTAAGACTTCAGTCACACTTATTAATACTTGAATAAAATAAACAAAATATGCGGAAGGAAACTAAATTAAATCTTACCATGCGTTATCGTCTGAAATTTAAACCGGCTTGCATATAGGCCTGGGCCTACAGTATATTTTTTATTTTAACAAAACAGTAACTTCCCTATTTATTTATTTGCTAAGCTCCAATTTTAGATTAAGTTAAGTTAGTTTGCCGCCCCCTTCAGTTTCAGTTTAAAGTAGTTGAATAAACGCCCGTGGGCGTTTATGCGTTTTATTATTCGTGGGAGGCGTTTATTTTTTGGTGTGTAAGATAGATGCGTATATACTGAAATAAATTAATATAATTCTACTAACATTAATAGAATGTGTTGAGCAAGATTTTGCTCTCATTTGTTTTGTTTACTAGTTATTCAGTTGGTGTTATTCAGGGAATTGTTCTGCCCTGGTTTTGTCCGTGAAAGAAATTGTAAGGTGATATTCACTATTTTTTTCATTACTCGTTTGTTCATCCTGCACGTTTTTGCTAAGCGTTTTGTTTTCCCTTCTCTTCTTATTTGTTGATGTATTTTCTTATCATATTCTATTAGTTTCACCATATAATTTTCTTCACCTTGGCCCAATCTCTTTCTAACTAAAACAAAATGTGTGTTCTTTAATCGTCATCTACATAATCTATATAGACAATAATATAAAGGTCATTGCAAAGTTGTTTTATAACAAGGATGTTGGACGTGTTTAACTTGGTGGAAATATAGCCAACATTTCTTGGCGAAACTTTTTATACCTTCGGAGCTCAGAAAAAACATATTATTTTGCAACGGTTTTGTCAACAGCATTCCAGACGGAGGAGAAAATACAAATATATTTTTTGCCAAAAAATATAAATTTAAAGAATTTAACAAACAAACAGTAAACAGTGTTAAAACATAAAAATGTTTTTATTTATCTGAAATTTTCTTTAGTTTCGCTAACTGGCCAAAAATATATTTTTTTCAATTTTATTCGAAATCATCATATTGGCGGGCGGCCGGGCGGCGGGATCGATATTAAAAGAAGGCGTAAAAAAGTCTCGTCATCCTTTTTAGCTGAGATGGCCATTTCAAACTGGAAAAACTAGTTTATGTTCCAGGGGCACTGCTCCAGAAATTTTGCTGACGAATACCCAAAAATTCAAACAGAGTGGTCCGAATCTCTGGGTATAAAATCTGGCGGGGTTCATGCATTTAGACACGGAAAGAAGTATTTTGGCAATCACTAAAACTTTATTTGGATCAGTAAATTATGTGCTGTCTGGAGAGGGGCATCGAAAAACCTGGAATAGAAGCCCTGGGATTCCAATTGCGGATAGGGAGTGAATAGGGTGGCTAGCCACCCCCTTCGTACACTGTGAAAAAAAATAATGGTCACTCGTCTTGTGTGTCTGCTTCCAGGAATTTGAAATAAAGGGGGCCCGAAGAGGGACTTTCAGAGGTTTAGGGTCTATCAGTGCGGTCTATACTATCTCAGCACCTGTCTCTTATACACATCTAGATGTGTATAAGAGACAGCATTAAAGGGAGTACAATGGAAAAGGAATAAAATAGAAAAATAAATCAGTGTAAAATACAAGAACACACTGAAATGTTGTATTTTCTTTAAATATACAATACAGTCGAATCCTAAATGCCATTGAAAAATTGTTCGACTTGGATGATATTTGACTTCGACTTGTTAATTAATGGAAAAAACAACAATTTGGCATGTAAAATAAGTTCGACTTAGAAATTATTCGAGTTGGGCAAAGTCAACTTAGGAAAGTTTAACTGCTACCGTATATTGAAAAATATTTATATTTATTAATTTATATTATATTTATTTACAGTATATTTATTAATTGCATTTCACTTTATTTTGTAAACAATAAAAATGGTAACCCTTACACAGTTGCCCAATTTTCAACTAGATGAAGGCTGCAACTTAACAAAGAAGAAGATAACTGACCCTCATAAAGAGACTTGGTTACGGAGATAATCTACAGGACCAAATAACCAGCTCTACTCATGAACAGACTTCAAATCAAATCAAACATGCATTTATTTTCCATACAATACAGTAACACAGTATACAATATGCAAATTGAAACAAACGGAAGGCGGCTACAGCATAGCTAAGGTCCCAAGTGATCAGTTGCCACCGTCTATGTTTACTAAGAAACTTGGCTATACTGTAGCTTTGGGGGTCCTGATGATTAACTCTGCACTCTCCAAGCTTTGAAGATAATTCGATGTAGAGGATGGAGGGTCCCAAATGGTCAGTTTCCACCCTTTATGCTTCCTAGAAGACTTGGTTATAGATCATTTAGGTTCCCAAATGATCAACTTGAGCTTGATGAACTGACCTTGCTAAATACACAGTTTTGCAAAAGCAAATACATTTCAGTACCTGATATCCAGACACCATTTTCTTTATCAAACTTGAGTTCCTGTCCACCAAGTTTGAGTCGGGCGACATCGTACTGTAATCCATATTCTTCCTCTCGGATGGAACTCTCAAGCTTGTTTAAGTTGTTGTCGGGCGACATCGTAAGATGTGTATAAGAGACAGGGTTAGGATACAGATTAACAACATAAGCGCTTGCCATTGCGTTCATACATAAAATCTATCACTGGATCACTGGCCAATAGAAAATAGGAAATGCATACGTCTAATTGGTTAAGGATAAATACGAGATCAACTTGCTTACCATATCCACTTCATGGTAGTATTTAGAGCTAACTCTTAGCTACCGATCTGGATATTAAGGCGCTAGTGTGCTCTAAACTTTAGATTATTTTAGATTACAGTGCACACTCCAATTGGAGACCCCTCTAATTCGAGACCACTTTTCCAAATACCTAAATAACAATCTTCAACCTTTTAACACAAAGCTAGCCCTCTTATTGGAGATCAACCCCAGGACCACCCCAAATTTTCAGGTCCCAAAGATGGTCTCGCATTGCAGGACGAACTGTCTTTCACAACTACAGTGGGGTTTAAACAGGGCAATTCCACATTCTATTGCGTTTCACAAATCTGATTATCCTGTAATTGAGTAGGCTTACTGACAGCCGTTGGCACCATTTTTACTTACCATATCAAGAAGGACCTCCATCTTCAATTTCAACAAGTTGTTCTCCTCAAGTAAATTCTGGTTTTGCTTTCGCAATTTCATAAATTCTCGCTGGCTTACACCACCACCTCCTCCCCCTCCATCTAAAATAAAGATTATTTCACCATACAGTGTCACATACAAGTGGAATCATTAAAGGGAGTACAATGGAAAAGGAATAAAATAGAAAAATAAATCAGTGTAAAATACAAGAACACACTGAAATGTTGTATTTTCTTTAAATATACAATACAGTCGAACTTGCCTAAGTCGAATCCTAAATGCCATTGAAAAATTGTTCGACTTAGACTTGTTAATTAATGGAAAAAACAACAATTTGGCATGTAAAATAAGTTCGACTTAGAAATTATTCGACTTAGGCAAGTTTAACTGCTACCGTATATTGAAAAATATTTATATTTATTAGTTTATATTATATTTATTAATTGCATTTCATTTTATTTTTTAAACAATAAAAATGGTAACCCTTACACAGTTGCCGAATTTTCAACTAGATGAAGGCTGCAACTTAACAAAGAAGAAGATAACTGACCCACCCTTGAATATTTATCTCCTAAACCGACCCTCATAAAGAGACTTGGTTACGGAGAGAATCTACAGGACCAAATAACCAGCTCTACTCATGAACAGACTTCAAATCAAATCAAATATGCATTTATTTTCCATACAATACAGTAATGCAGTATACAATATGCAAATTGAAACAAACAGAAAGGAGGCTACAGCATAGCTAAGGTCCCAAATGATCAGTTGCCACCATCTCTGTTTACTAAGAAACTTGGCTATACTGTAGCTTTGGTGGTCCTGATGATTAACTCTGCACTCTCCAAGCTTTGAAGAGAATTCAATGTAGAGGATGGAGGGTCCCAAATGGTCAGTTTCCAGCCTCTATGCTTCCTAGAAGACTTGGTTATAGATCATTTAGGTTCTCAAATGATCAACTTGAGCTTGATGAACTGACCTTGCTAAATACACAGTTTTGAAAAAGCAAATACATTTCAGTACCTGATATCCAGACACCATTTTCTTTATCAAACTTGAGTTCCTGTCCACCTAGTTTGAGTCGGGCGACATCGTACTGTAATCCATATTCTTCCTCTCGGATAGAACTCTCAAGCTTGTTTAAGTTATTCAGAGACGATGATCTCCGAGGTGGTGTTTTCTTTGGGGTGAACTTTGGGCCAAAAAGGGGCATTTTGTTTCCTGTTGAAGTCTCTCAGTTGTGTATATTTGAAGTTGCGTCCCTTTCCTCCTGTTATTAAATGGCAAAAAACAAAGAACTACGTTTATGTCTATCATTTACTACTACCAAACATCGTCAGATACTAAATACTCTAAAAAATATCAAATATTTGAATTAGACATGCAGTGATGAAAATTTTCTTTTGACTGAAAAGAAGACTCCTCGGGCCAGGGATAAGCCCACTCCCAAAATCGGCTGAATTTTATTTTGTGCATGTTCAAGGGGGTGGGCTTTACTGTACGTCTACCACCAAGCAGAGAGAGCAGACAGATAAAGGAAGTTCAGGAACAGAATTTTATTATTAATATTATTATTGTGGTGTATGATGGACTTCCCTGTTCACTGTTGTTATTGTACGTTGGATAGCCACCAGCAGAGAGGTGATTATTACGAAAAAAACAAGAAAAGTTGCATATAAATCTCTTGAGATGAGGCATTAGCCACCATTGTGTCTCGTAGGGTAGGCCTGGCTGGGATACCAGGCGATGGCCTGCCAATATCGGTTGAGATACAGGTCAACCTGTACCCATTCCAACCCGCACCCACAACCCGTCGTGCACGGCTTCGCCTGGTCTGGTCCCACCGGCCACCGATATGCTTTTCAGGGCTAGGCTAGGCCCTAGGTCTAGGCCTAGCCCTAAGAGACTTCAGTCACGCTTATTAATACTTGAATAAAATAAGCAAAATACGCGGATGGAAACTAAATAAAATCTTACCATGCGTTATCTTCTGAAATTTAAACCGGCTTGCATATAGGCCTATATTTTTTTATTTTAACAAAACAGTAACTTCCCTATGTTTTTAGTTGCTTAGCTCCAATGTTAGATTAAGTTAAGTTAAGAATAGTTTGCCGCCCCCCTGAGTTTCAGTTTAAAGTATTTGAATAAACGCCCATGGGCGTTTATAGTTAGTTGAGAAGGGTTTTTGAGGCGTTTTATTATTTGTGGGAGGCGTTTATTTTTTGGTGTGTAAGATAGATAAGTATATACTGAAATAAATAAATAATATAATTCTACTAACATTAATAGAATGTGTTGAGCAAGATTTTGCTCTCATTTGTTTTGTTTACTAGTTATTCAGTTGGTGTTATTCAGGGAATTGTTCTGCCCTGGTTTTGTCCGTGAAAGACATTGTAAGGTTTTATTACTCGTTTGTTCATCCTGCACCTTTTTTCTAAGCGTCTTGTTTTCCCTTCTCTTCTTATATTTTCTTATCATATTCTTAGTTTCACTATATCAGTTTCTTCACCTTGGCCCAATCTCTTTCTAACTAAAACAAAATGTGTGTTCTTTAATCGTCATCTACATAATCTATATAGACAATAATATAAAGGTCATTGCAAAGTTGTTTTATAACAAGGATGTTGGACGTGTTTACCTTGGTGGAAATATAGCCAACATTTCTTGGCGAAACTTGTTATACCTTCGGAGCTCAGAAAAAACATATTATTTTGCAACGGTTTTGTCAACAGCATCCAGACGGAGGAGAAAATACAAATATATTTTTTGCCAAAAAATACAAATTTAAAGAATTTATCAATCACACTGTTTACATTCACCGGGTGAATGTAAACAGTGTAAGATAAATTCTTTAAATTTTATATAATTAAGAAGGAAATCTTTGATGATTCCAAGGCAGCTGTGGTGTTGAGCTAATAAAAATAAATAAAAATGTTTTTATTTATCTGAAATTTTCTTTAGTTTCGCTAACTGGCCAAAAATGTTTTCTTTTTCAATTTTATTCGAAATCATCATATTGGCGGGCGGCCGGGCGGCGGGATCGCTATTAAAAGAAGGCGTAAAAAAGTATCGTCATCCTCTTTAGCTGAGACGGCCATTTCAGACTGGACAAACAAGTTTATGTTCCAGGGGCACTGCTCCAGAAATTTAGCTGAAGGATACCAAAAAATTCAAACAGAGTGGTCAAAATCTCTGGGTATAAATCTGGCGGGGTTCATGCTTTTAGACCACGGGAAGAAGTATTTTGGCAATCACTTAAACTTTATTTGGATCCGTAAATTATGTGCTTGTCTGGAGAGGGATATCGAAAAACCTGGAATAGAAGCCCTGGGATTCCAATTGCGGATCTAGGGAGTGAATAGGGTGACTAGCCACACCCTTCGTTTACCGTGAAAAAAATAATGGTCACCGTCTTTTGTGTCTGCTTCCAGGAATTTGAAATAAAGGGGACCCGGAGAGGGACTTTTCAGAGGTTTAGGGTCTATCAGTGCGGTCTATACTATCTCAGCACCACTTGGAGTTTAGGTAAGAAAATTCATGATTATGGCACCTCTAAATGGCCGGAAATGGCCATTTTAAATTCAGGAGGGGGAGGGGGTGTGTGGGGCGGGCCGGCTGGACCCCTTAAATCCTATGTCCTATGTCGTGTACTCTGGTAAACATACACTTTCTATAAGCTTACTTCTTTTCAAATGCCATCCAAGATCGTCTAGCAGTCTACTAATTCTAGTCTAAAAATCTCAAATGGGAGGGCTAGGGGAAGCCCCTCCCAAAACTACCCCTCTTCCACCACACTCTGTCCTTCTTACCTCCCATTATCCACCCCCATTGCTAAATCCTAGATCCGACCCTGCTTGAAGCCTCGTTTTAAGCTCAAATAACGATAAATCGGATGATACTCAATAAAGCTCATGTGGCCGAATCTGAGAAGAATGACCAAGTTAAAAAGTGGCCAATTTTGGTAAAAACCATGAGCTATAGCTCATACTTTTTTTTTTTGGAGGATTTTTTTTACCCCGCCATTTTCCAGTTCTTTCGTATTCAATGATACCTACAGATCACAAGAGTTATCTGTAGGTTGATAAATGCCACTTAAATCCTCGTTTCTGGTAAAATTTTGGTAAAAACCATGAGCTATAGCTCATACTTTTTTTTGGACGATTTTTTTTTACCCCGCCATTTTCCAGTTGTTTCGTATTCCATGATACCTACAAATCACAAGAGTCCTCTGCAGGTTGATAAATGCCACTTAAAGCTTACAGTTAAGCTTAAATAACGATAAATCGGATGATACTCAATTAGGCCCATGTGGCCGAATCTGGGAAAAACGACCAGGTTAAAAATTGGCCAATTTTGGTGAAAAACCATGAGCTATAGCTCATACTTTTTTTGGACAATTTTTTTTACCCCGCAATATTTCAGTTGTTTCGTATTACAGATCACAAGAGTTCTCTGTAGGTTGATAAATGCCACTTTTATTTTTTGGATGAGGACATTTGGATGAGCCTCCTTTTAGAGATTAAGCCAATGGGGCTTCACGGTAACTCCCGACCACCTTAATTGTGGTGTTATGGTACCAAATGACACAACCCTGAAACGTTTGAATGAAACAAAACAAATACCATCATTATTTGATCACAATGTCCTTTATTTTTTACACTTAAGATACAAGAAAAGTTTTTTCTCTAGTTGAATAACATCATAAACACATTGAAGACGCCTCTAAATAGAAGTACAAACAACAAGAACCAAATCACAAAATATATGTTACACTTTCTAGGTGGGTTCACCTGGAGAAAAAAGAACCAGCTGAGATTGATAAGAATCCCACAGGGGCATAAGCTGGTTTCAGTCTGGGGGGGGGGGGGAATTGAGAATGCGCAACTAAATTCATATTCCAATGAAAATTTAATTGTCATTTTTTTGTATAACCCACTTTATTGGGACTAATAGGCCGCCATCAGCAATCCCCCCACCCCCTCCCAGCCTACAGCAGTTATCAGCATGAATCTACTCTTAACCAAGAAACTTTGATGCAGCATTCGCAACTATACTTCAACATCCATGGGTCGACCTTCTAAAGATTAATGTTTAGTGGCCGTACGTAACAAATCATCTGGCTTTTCACAAATAACTAGACCTAATTTAGGGACTGCGGTTTTTAGTTACAATAATTTATTCCAATTATACAGAGTCATTAATTTTAGCTGCATATATTCAATTAAAAAATATGTGCAGCTTGTCTGGGCACTGCACCATAAATGTATAGAAGGGATTTTGATAATTAAAATCCCAATTTATAAAATTCTCAGGTGGACTATTAGAATAGAAACCAGATATATAGCAGATTTTGGAGAGCAGAAATAAGCCTCTCTCTAAAAAAAAAAAAAATCATATTGGGAATTTCACCATACACAACAAAAACGATATCTTAAGAAGTGAAATATCGATATAATTAACCACAAGCATGGCTATTAGTATAGCACTTAGCCTTAAGCACATTATGATAAACGTGAAACAGTTGTTACCATTTATTATCAACACTCTATATAGAGGATTGTTGATGCTTTTTTTTTTTATACAATTTGCACTAATCTTATGCACTTTCTCAATGTTTTACTGTTTTCCATTGTCATGTGAATAATCTGGGGCTAATTTAATGCTCTGTCCTCATTATCATTTTTTTTGTATACAAATACAAAAGGTGATTTGCGCAAATATGGGCATAAAGATGTTCATACAATTTATACCAGTATTTGAACGAATAACAAGTCTTTGTCTCAAATGTTCACCTATGAGCCAAAAAATGTAAAAAAAAAAATCTAAATCTGAGCAGAACATAGAGAAATTAGGGGGTGGGGGGTTCTTTACTTTCCAGAAGGGGTGGGGGGAGGTCTTTACTTTCCAGAAGGGGTGGGCAGTTTTCCTATGGCTTTCCGATAGACTTCTGACCACGTCCTTCCAGTAGGGGTGGACATCTTACAAAGACTTATTAACCTTCCAGAATAGATGGACAAACAAAAATCTTCCCACATTCTATGAGTCTTAGACCAAATACATTTTTCCATTCTTCATTCATAAAACAATTCATGTTTTAACCAACATGTTATCAAAATTAAGAATACCAACAAGCTACTTATTTAAACCTAAAAAATCTGTAGTATACTAGAGTAGATCAATCTAGCATAGGCATACAACATATAAATCAGGTTACAAATAGTCCAAAGATGAATATCATAATCAATAAAGTGGAAATTTTGAGCTACATTATTCCGCATAAAAAATTAATATCATGCTAAAGGTCAATCTTTGCAAAAATAAAGGGGGAAAATATTGAACGAACATCTCAAAGGGGTTGCTACAGCTAATAAAATAGGCACAAAAATTTCCACTTTTCAAAATAGTAATTGATTTTGCATACCACCCTTTCAGGTAATATATTAATATAAAACAGGATTATATTATTATTATACAATTAATAACAAACTAATGAACGCTCTTCAATGCAACAATGAAAACAATATTCTCACAAAATTTAATCTGGTTCCATAAAGTATAGTAGGAAAAACAATGTTTAAATATTTAAGTACACTTATAAATTGAAAAAAAGTATTAAATTCAAAGACAAAATTATCTTCAAAATGATATCTAATTATTATTATTTAGCAAAAAACACACAAGGGCATAATCAATTGCACATTTTACTCTAGTTAGGCGAGACTTTTTATACCTTGTTAAATGAACCCACTGACCACCAAAAATTGTGATTTTTAATAAAAATTAAATTTCATTTTTGGCCAGTTAGCGCACCCTCACTACGAAAATATGGAAATTTCATAAAAAAATACATTTTTTTAATCTATTTTTATTATGCCCTCAGTTTTCCTGAAATCTTCAAAAATAAGATACATATTTCTTCCTTATTTTATATAAATTTACAGCATTTATTAATTTCATTAGTATACTGTTTAATTCATTAATACAATTTTATTTTTATTTTCTCCTCTGCCTGATGGTTTTGGCAAAATCATTTTGCTAGATGAGAACATTTTATTTCAATTTTTTACCCCCTCCTCTGACAATCTTAAATTTTTTTTTTTGCAAAACAAGGTATAAAGAAGTCTCGCCTTAGTTTATGGATATCAGTTATTTTGTAAAGCGCCCTCAAACTGACATATAACTTCCATCATGTAGCTATAAGTAGCTTATGAACGTCTCAATTTTTCTATAAAAATAAATGAACTATGATAACCCCATGACTCATGATCAATAATTCTTAAAAAAAGTTATAATACACTGATTTGATAAGAATTTAAGATACACATAAAGGTAATGATTATTACATCAAATACATTTCTTTGATAGCGCTAAGGAGCCTCGCCTTTCTATTGTGCATTCATGTGTACTTTCATGTTTTAGTTTGTTTAATTTTAGTATTTTCGTTGACAACTAAAACGGTATTTGTTATTTAGTTATTTTTATACCTTTTTAAAATTAAGATGCATCTTGGCCTTTGCCCATGTTATGTTGTTAGATCTGTGATATATAGAATATGATATAAAATATATAACACAAATTGACATACAAAAAGACCTAATTGGTGAATCAGGTGTTAGAGCTCTGCCCAGACTACAAATATTCTTGAATGCCCATATTTAGTCATGATGTGGCTATATTTGGTCTTGATGTGATGTCATCATGACTATATTTAGGCATGTCACATGTTTTTTTCAAATATAAATTTAGTAGTCTGGAGAGGGCTTAAGACAAAATTTGTTGAATGAATAAAACATATATTTTTATTTATGTAAATGATGAATTAGCATAATCACACAGGTGTCAGCAAAAATAGGCTCAAACAATGAATTTACCTCCGTTTCAATGTTATATGATAACGCTTAAATTATAATAGATCTTTGTGAGGAGGTTAAATACCAGTGTGGTACTCCATTCCTCAAAACATATTTACCCCCACCCCACAAAAAAAATTAATTGTAAAAAATGTAAATTGATTTAAAAATTTGAAGTTAGTCAGCACCATGTTATCATGTATGAATTCTTTTACATAATTTTCCAATCTTTGGCTAAAAGAATTCAAGAAATTAATAATAAACATCAATGGAACTCTAACTTCTTTTGGTGGAGAAAATATTACTTAACATCAAACTTTCTCTATAAGTTCAACTTAAAATATGGAATATATATATGAAAGCAAGAATTCTTTTTAGTTTAGTGTTAATATAGGAGATACATTAATAGTAGTTTTCTTGGAATGGATAAAAATATATTATTTCAGAAATTTAAAAAAAATTGTACTTGTATTATGTAGACTGGCAATTCAAACAAGTTCTCTATAATTTATTGGACTGGAATGCAACTACATATCAAGGTTTGTCCCATAACCAAAAAACTTATTAAAAATTTGATTAGTTTTTTTTTTAATAGAGGGATTGGTTATATTGCAAATAATGTCATTTATAAGAAAAAAGTAATAATAATTAGAATGTTATCAATATTGCAAATTATCATATTACAGTATGATTATATTACACATTATATTAGTTAACTAAGTATGTACAAATAAATTAGTTAAGAAACAAGTGTATTTTGAAATACTGGATAGTGTATTTGAATTAAGAATATATATATATATATATGTATGCAAATGAGTTAGTTTCATGAATAAGTTTGCAATAATATCCAAAACTAGTATTGAAAAAAGGTATTAGTTAATGCAGTATGGTCTGAATTTAGTTTTTAGAAACTGAAAAATACCAACTTATTCTTACAATTATATATATAACTACCTACACATTCTTGCTTGTCCAAAAATCTATCTTCAATGAGGGAAGGGCATTAAGGATCAGACACTAGGAAGCTTTTAATTTGTTCAACGACACGGCACTAGAACGGAATCACCCATGCGTGGCCATCCTATGTACTCTGCATACGTATATTTGGCCAAATTGAGTCCTAGAATCCACGCGACGAGCGAACTTAACATTCCCACATGCGCAGATGACTTTTAGTGACGTCATTACGTTCTACCGTCGTCATACAATCGAAAGCTCCCTATTGGCTTAATTCAGTAGACCTTTCCAGAGAGTCAATCAAACAACTGACCAATCAGAACAGCGCCAGGAATATGCGCGCATCTCACGAGCATACATGTCCAACAAACACATGTGTTTGCGTATGTTTTAACAGTGTTGTTTTGTAAGGCCTTTGCAACAATATCCTAGGAGTAGGGCTTAGACGAAAGGTTCATTCCCATTTAAAAATTCTATTGATTCTTTGTCATTCCTTACACCAGCTGTTCACATGGATTTTAATTTGCCTTAATTGGCAATGGTCTTGGTTTTTAGATGGTTTCTGGTTAATTTAGACTAATTTTTCTATTGTCAATGAAACCAACAATATGCATCACCATTACTACAGAAAATCATAGCATTCCGAGGCTACTATAGGGAAGGCATTAATGGCAGTGTGATATGTATTTAGTGTATTATTACTGGGTACAAATATTATATATACACAAAAAATCACCCATCCTCAGTTGTTACTTACATACTGTCTACATATTTTCAATACAAAATTAGAGGCAACTTTGTGGAGAATTTCAACTTCAGAATGAAAATAATACTTTCCCTACTGATATCTTTCTGTACACACCCCAATCAATTTTGAATAGTAATAAAATCATTTGAGAAAATAATGTTTATCAACAACAATTATTTTGATATGAATCTGTGATGCTACATACCAATAAAAAATACAAATGTAGCTTCAGCAATTCTATTTTTTTCTACTTAACTTTGCATTAAAAAGTTACATACACACTTCAGTAGAATTATAGCGGAGACAGTTTTATATGATTGATGTATATATAATGTATATCTATAGTCATGTATTTATATTCAATTTTCTACAACAATTTGTGAGAACAATCATTAGCAGTTTGATAGAACTGTTTTGTACTGAAACTGGGATTGTATTGTTAATTAATTCAAATTAAAATCTACACCAACTCTCAAACTATCCATACTAGGAAGTTTTATGTGACAAAGTTATGTGAACTGTTCATATATGGGCATTATAATGTAATACTATATCTATATTTGGGCATGGTGATATCATATCATATTCCTATATGGGAAATTACATAAAGCCAAGCATACATCAGATTTCGTCTGATAAGCTTTATCCATACTATAATGTTTTCTTTGACAAAAAACTTCCGTATGCCCATATATAGTCATGATGTGCCTATATATGGTCATGATGTGATGTCATCATGACCATATTTAGGCATGTCACATGTTGTTTTTTTTCAAATAAAATTTGATAGTCTGGACAGGACTTAAGAACTCAACAGCAAATGTTTGGTCACACTTTGTCTGAAGAGGCCATCAGACTTCCAACATACATGGAAAAATACATAATTTGTCTCATCAAACTTCCTTACAGACAACAATGTGGTATACTGCATAGTACCCTGCTTTAGGCTAACACAAAATGCTGAATGTAATATCTCTTAAGTCAGGCATACTGGTGCTTCTATATATTCATCTTGTTGTGATGCAAATACCAATAATCTAAATCAACACTTTCATTATGGTACTCGATAGGATCAAGCTATCACCATTTTGCTTTTCATTTATCAGTTTTCTTTATTAAGGATTAAAATTATCCAAAAACTTATTATCTTGCAACAAATATCACTCTTAATTATTTCTTTGAAAACATTTTATATACATATCTCAGTAACAAAAAAAAAACAACATCTTGTTCATAATGTTACATATAACATTTACCTCGCATGGACTATAAACTGACCACTGATAAGATATCGCAACATTCAGCGGATCTGAAACATTACCGTTGTGTCAACAACCTAGCAACAAGAAGAGATCTCAAGCAAGTGAAGCCGATGACTGGTGATTATCAGTTGTATTGGATTTATTGTGTGTTGTTTTTAAGCTGTACAGCAATTAGCAGGGTTTACTTTGCGTTCATCTACATACTGCTTCACACTAAACGAGGGGTCGTTGGGTTTCCTTGTTTTCTTTGCACGAAGATCTCTGTAAAAGAAGTTCAAAGCTCTTTATTCACTGATTTTTTTTTTAAACATTCGTATTAAGCATTCATGTTACGTATATCATTTCAACGGAGAACAGAAAAAAAAAAAAAACGGCAGGGAAAAACCAAAATATCACAGATTGAAGATGATGGTTCGCTTATAAAACAAAAAACTTAATTAAAACGAGACACAACATGACATTACCTACACAAAAAATACATGACAAAAACAACAGAATTCAAGTGGTCTTCATTAACGTCTGAAAAATTATATTACATTTTATATTTATATTTTACATAATTTTTTATACTTAATTATATATTTTGTTTACTACAACAGTATTTATAATTTATAATGAAAAAATAAATTGAGCAGTTACTGTCTTTTTTCTTTAGAATGGCATTCTGTCGACAGCATCAAACTGTTGTATGTCCATATATAGTCATAATGTATCTATATATGGTCATGATGTGATCTCATCATGACCATACAGGCATGTTACCTGTTTTTGTCAAATAACAATTATTAAAATTCAAACTCAACATACTTTGCAACAGCTATAAACGCTAGTTCCACATTCAACCCAGTTTTTGCGGATGTCTCCATAAATGCTATCCCATGATCCTACAGTACAAAAAAAAAAAAACACAACAAAACAAAGATATAAATAATCAAGTGTACTGTATGTACTTACTTAGTCTGTATTTTTTTCAGTTAGAGATTCTATCAGGAAGTATTCTACTTCTAAACAAACTGTTTAGAAGTGTCTTTTTTCTTTAGAAAATATACTGTAAGTTTAGTATTAAGGGCAGCTCTCAAAAATGAGAAGTGAAAAAAATAATATATTAAATTAATTTTTCTGACAGTAGCCTCTACATTATTACATGGTAAAAATCTTGGCTTTACTAAACTTTCCCTAGATAGTTTAGGGACAAGGCCCGGGATTTATCAATCTCAGCTTAGCAAATGTCAAGAAAGTTAAGATGTCCCTAAGCAAATATCTTAAGCTGATTTATCAAACCATAGCAAATCTTATCTTAAAAATCATCTTAGATGGCGCATGCGTACAATTGAATTATTAATTTTAAGCAATTTTTAAGCTAAGCAATATTAAAAAAAAAATATTAAGCAAAAAAAATGGACTTAAGACGAATTTAAACTGATTTCTAGTTTGATAAATCTGGCCCAAGGTGCTAAAGTTGGTACAATGATACACCCTTACTAGCTAACACACTCACCACAAGCTAGTTACATTTACCTTAGTTACACAAAACTAAACTAGATAGTTAACTAGCTAGCTGACATTACTTACCCTTGCTAATTTTTCTCCTTCATCACGCCTGACAACCCTGTCTGAGGATATATCAGCTTTGTTCCCTAGCAACATGACAACAACATCTTCACTTGCATATTCTTTGATTTCTGCCACCCATGCCTGCACAAAAATAAATATGTTGTTAAAATCAATGTATTATTCATAGATTTGATATGCAAATAAAGTGGATTTTAAAATGGCTACAGTTGGGCGGGTTCTACTTTCAAAACTGGTAGCACCAGTCAACATACATCGACTGAAGAGAAAGTAATCAACCAAGCGAAATTGTTAATGTTAAAAAAAGTAAACAATTTTGGTTTTATAAAGAAAATGAAAATCAAATACCAAATGAAAACCAATGAAGTTTTTCAATCCTTCAATCATGCCTATAGTTGTTAAACAAGGTGCCATCAACATTGTTCAAGCATTTAACACAATATCTTACCCGGATATGATCAAAGGACTGGCGATTAGCAACATCATAGAGTAACAATAAGGCATGTGCATCTCTGTAGTATGCATGGGTCACACTCCGGAACCTTTCTTGACCGGCGGTATCCCATATCTGTAACAACAATACATCAACATAAATATTATATAATGTTACATGCAATCAAAATTTTAATCAATTGTAATTTGTAAAACCCACCATCACAAACTGAATAGTTTTGCGTTGCCTGTGAAATTGGGCAAATAGGAAAATTTTAAACGCGACAATAAAAATGAACCTAGAACAAGTTCTCTGCACCCTCAAGTTCTCTGCACCAACAAGATTTGATCCGGTCACATCCTACAATTCAGATGACGAGAACACAAAATCCTCGCATGAGCAAATGACTCTATGTGATGAATTCCTATTTTCTAGATCTCACTGCGTGTATTAAAAAGCCAATAGCCAAAATATGTTGCAACCTACTTTCTGGTTAAAATTGGTTTCAGCATTTTCTTAACATATTACTAATCTTAAACTAATGTACATCACAATGATATTTATTTTTGGTGACTGGATTTGTCTCTGCATTGTTTGCATTTTATGTTAACTGAACCTTGTTTTCTACTTTTCCTTGTAAACATTTTGTAGTTTATATTGTTTCTTTTTTTCCCATACTAGTTGGAAGAGTCTTTGAATAGTGATTTTTTTTTTTTGCTTTTTGACAATTTTCTCCAGAATATTTTTTGTGATGTATTTGTGGAAAATAAATAAATGAAAATGTTATATTTATTTTTAAGCTGTTTCCTTCCCAAATGTCTTTTTCAAACATATCCATGTACACTACTCCACTTTAAGAAAATCTACAGTATGCAAGATATTATCTGATTCATATCATGGTTTTAAAATAAATTGGAAAATATATATTATGCAATAAATTATGAGTAATGTCATATTTTTTGGTCTCTTGTGCCATAAGCTCAATTTGTGATGAGGTCACATGAAAAATACGATTTTAAATCATTATATATTCTCCACGGTTAACACAAAATAAATACGAATGTGCATAGCCTGCACTATATTCCAAATGTCAAGCTATCCCTCTAGAACAACATACCTAAAAAAATATAAATACAGATGTATAAATGTGTAGGCAATTTTCAATGGGATCAATCTTGTGGGTAAGATTAAAATACTGTATTATTTGAGGCTTGGCATCTCAAAACCAGCGTACAGTCGCTAAATGTTAAACTGAGTATTCAGCATATGATGTGGTAGTATTGTATACTTTAGCACAGACAAGCCACAATGCTTTTACTCATAACTTTGGCAAAATACTGTTTTAAAGTTGATTCCAGTAAATGGCCTATTATTTTAAAGCTTATAATAATGTGGAGAATATGAATGTTAAAAAGTAAATTTTCTTGTTTGGTCACTAATACTGGTTTGGTGCATGGCAAGCCCCTAGTTTTTCATTACCCACTACAGTACAATATATAAATTATAATAATAATTATTATTATTAATATTATTATTATTGTTATTATTATTATTATTATTATTATTGTTATTATTATTGTTATTATTATTAATATTATTATTATCATTATTATTATTATTATTATTGGCCAAAATATGGAAATCTTCAAAGCAAACTACTGTACTAATCTTCCAACACTTAATTATGCATCATTTGTTTGGCTTTTTAAGTACAGTAGGAAAAATCGAGAAATAGAATATCTGCAATATCAGATGCAAGAAATATTCTTAGCACCAAGTAATATTACGGAAGAAGCTCCCCTAGGAGATTCAGTTGACAATCAACTGAAAACATACCTGTGAACAATTTAAAATTTTATAATTCAACATCTTTGGTAAAGGTAAAATTGCATCAATGAATTTTGTGAAATACTGTATATTTGTATACTACAGTTAGTCTAGTTTTTCACTATGACAACAAAAACACACCCTCAACTTTGTTTTGTGTGTGCCACTGTTGTGTCATTCTAAATTTATCTATTTATCTATTTTATTATTTAATTTATCCATCCATTCATTTTTATTTATTTATTAGGGCCTACAATAATACAATACAAAAAAGGTACATGAAACAGACAAGAAAAAAAAAATAATTTAGGGCACCAGGTAGCAGACAGAAATGGAATATGAAGAGTATTATTTTTTCTATGATTTTGGGTCAATAAACTTCAGAAGAAAGGCTCCCCAGCTTTTTGTTTTTATTTTTTCTATGACTCTGAGAAAGGTCAATAAACTTCAGAAGAAAGGCTCCCCAGCTTTCTGTTTTTATTTTTTCTATGACTCTGAGAAAGGTCAATAAACTTCAGAAGAAAGGCTCCCCAGCTTTCTGTTTTTCCCCTTATTACTATTCAATGCTCTATTTAGTTTTAGTATTATTACATATTCCATTTAAAGTCCAACATCAGTGTCGATGTTGCAGCTGCCTCTGATCTAACATAGGTTGTTGGTTGTTGTATTGCACTCTACTGCTTATTGCGAAATGCACTCTCAAATAGGAATGCAATTTTATCAACTACAAATTTCCTTACGTCAACTCATTTATGTTGACATAAACACCCACTTCAATACCTGAACAGAGGTTCTTAACATTTCAGGATAATTTACTCGTGGATGGTAGGTGCATGACACTCAATTTGACAATACAACTCGTTAGTGAGATATCCGATAGATTCTTTAAGAAGGTGGCCTTTTAAATCCACTGCACTTGTATGGCGACTACAGTTCAGTAGCTCTATATCCATATGTGACATTTCTGGCTAGTAAACTATAAATTTTTTAGCATTATTTTAAGGGATTAGATATGCTAAATAAAAGCAGTGCTTTTTGTAACTCCGTACATTTTATATTCCTATTTTCACACATGCATTTACTAAACTGTAACCATAATTGTTAATACATTTTGTGAATGAAATTGATTGAATATTAAGATCAAATGTTGGACTTGTTATTTTTTATACTTCTAGTCTCTAAATCCAGCCTGCTATAAAAAGTTGTATATTTTTTAATTGTACAGGTATTATATTGCGTGAAATGTTTAGAAAATTTACTCCTGGATCACAAGCTCTGCATACAAAATTATTTTTTTTTATCGTTTACATGAGCCAATATCAATTACTTCTTTATTCACCTTCTGTATGAACTGCACTTTGCAGTAATGAATAAGTTAGAATCGAGTCTGAAGATAGACTTTTTTTCATTCAATTACCATGCTAGATAGAATTGTAGATATTGAATATTTGCTAAATTTATCAGTATTTATTTATTATCTTGTCAAAATTCAAATTGAAGAAGCAAATCTTCAATCCAGTATCTTCATTTCATTTCACTATTTTATTTCAAAATCATATCATCATATCTTTGGGTTGCCATTATCAAACTCAATTGAATGGCTGGGAGTAAACCAACAACAACAGCAACAACATTATCAGCAGTGACAGATACACAGAAGCAGAATAGCAGAAGCAACAACAAAAACAGCAGAAAACCAGAGTACATCTTAATTATGAAAAGAGGCCAACATACAAACTAATTTCAGTATAACCACAGTGTTTACTTTGCCCATTTATTACTGTAGTTTTATTGACCAAAATCAGTGCTCGCTGCGTACAAATGCATCATATGTTCACAAACGTGTTTGTGTAGTTTATCTTCATGTCAATATAAGATACCATGCTGCGTTGGTTAAAAGTTGCAGTTGTATCAACTAATGTAATTTTTCTACTCGTGCAAGCGTGCGTTAAATTGCCATTCTATTTGCAATTGGCTGCAGATGAAACAAACAAATAAACAACTATCCCAGGGGAGCCCTCCATGAATGATGATGATTGCTTTTCGCCATTTAAGTGTCTCGCATTCACAGCGAACTGTGCGTTCCACTATGACATTTCATCAGCACTTTAATGAGATCAAATTTAAGGTGATGGTCATAAACATTTTAGTATTATCTTTCATGACAATGCACATTATATTATATATTTCTATATATTATATTGTAATATATCTTCATGTGATAAAGAATAAATAAATAAAAAAACCCAGTGTTAGCCAAATCATACCTTGAACCAATGCCCAGACTATTAAAATTTATTTGACAAAACTATGTGATATGCCCATGATGACATCATGACAAATATAGGCACAACATGACTATATATGGGCACAACATGACTATATATGGGAATGCAAGAGTTTTAAAAAAAAAAATGGTCTGGACAGAGCTGAAGCTGAATTTGGCTGAATATTTTTTTTATATCTTTTTATATTAAAAAAAAAATTTATTGTAGGTTTATTTTACACATTTCAGCATTCTATTTTCAATATTGAGACCACATTTGTAGATGAAAATGTAATCGGCAGAAAATTTGTTTCATGTCAATAAATTTTAAAGTATGCAAAAATTACAGAAAGCTAATTTATGATTTATCAGTAGCAATTCCACACAACTGACCTTGTAACAGGCAAATCAAAACTCATCATTGCTAAAATCCAGCCTCACTTGACTTTGATGTGAGAACGTGCTTACAATGCACTAGCTACTTAGGAAAATTCAACGATATTCTTTACATCTACTCTACATCTAAGGGGCACAATCCAAGTGGCTATTCCCAGAGCCACAATCTATTTTTAAGACCATACGGATTACAAAAGCATTTTCAAAATATAAATATGCTGAGATGTTTGTCGCTGATTGGCAAGCTGTGATGTTGCGCTTATAGCTTCATTAAGTAAACATGTACTGGTCATTATAATACAATGTACTTAAGGTATGAGTAACTCCTGCTGTACACAGCTAAATTCATCTTAGCTACCTTCCTTCAAGTTTAAACAGTTCAACAGAATTAGGTCATTCCCCTAATGTTTGAAAACATAAACATTCTAAGATTTCCATCTTTTGATTGGCTGTAAAAGCACTGTGTATGCTGTATACATAAGATCTTCCTCTCTTTACTCTGCAAAAATCCTGACCGAAGGCCCATGATACTAGATAGATACCTCTGTCAAACTCCTGTTGGAAAATGGACGCACCACTGGAAACATTGTAAACAAACTCACCTGTAACTTGATCTTTGACCCATCTACATCAACTATTTTATTCTGCAAGATAAAATACAATGAACGTAATTATGATTTTTATGTCAGTTTTATGTTACTAACATAAATTTAGCAAATTGTTCACATCATAAAGAATTATCAAATATGGCTGTGACATGACATCATAATGCCAAAATATGGGAAAATCACACAATTTCATTTTTCCACATGAAACTTTATATTTTCGTCAGAAATTCGGAGGTTAGTTGCTATGTTTACTGACAGCTGAACATTGAAATCCATATATCATACAAAAAATATTTGATCACTCTATCATGCAATCACTACAACTGAAGCATCGTTAATCATTTTAATTACTTAATTTTCATGATCAGCGTCCTTGATGATATTGTCAGTACAGTAACACAGTGAATTGAAGTGATTGCAATGAGAGGGTCATACACAGGAGATTATTGTCAATGCTGCATCTAATGAAAGTACAAAGCCCTATGGTTGGAACACCCATTAACAATTTCTTTTTTAGCTTGGCAAATCAAACATATGGAAGATGAATGGTGGATAAAATTTTTTTACTAGACTCAACAAGGTAATTCAACAGAAGGACGCACATCTCAGCTCTCGAACATAGCGCGTGCGTACAGTCCTTTGATCTTTACTGTGGCATCGACAATCCGATACTAGTTGCGAGTACAGCCGTCAATTATTAGTCTATGCGTGCCATTCGTTTTATGGTTAGTTTTTATTTTATTAATTTTGGGTACTTCGCAATATCTGTTACATCTGATTTTTTTTTGACCGCGAGCTTGTTAAATGCTTCTATAAACTGCAATTTGATTTGTGAAAATTGACCAAGAAAATGAAAAGTTATAATAATTTATAATTTACGAATTTTATAAAATTTCATGTTCTTATGTAACATTAATCTGTCATTTTGACAATGTTGGCATAAGGTGCCGAAAACGAA